TGATACTTTCATCTTATTATTGCCTTACACGTTTGAGAATTTAACTCTGCAAAACTAAAGCTTTTTTGTCTTTTTTTGAAACGTATTATTGGAGTATTGGCAAGTTTTACCATTCGGAGATTTACAAACTAATATTGAAACTATAAAAACAGTTTCATGTATACGCGCATTCACTAATGAGTAATGACAACTTATAAGCCATACATTTTTCGATAACGACAGAACGCTTGTGCAGCCTTTAGTCGCTCTTCGTGACTAATAATTTTTTTTGAGGGGGGCAAAATGGGGGGGGGGGGAAATAATTGGGGGGGCATTTGCCCCCCTTGCCCCCCCTGGCGCCGCCACTGTGGTTTAATTAAGGATAGCTGAACAATCGAAAACAATCCGTACTTTTGTCGTTGTCTTACCCATTCGAATAATTGGGAAATGTGGCAAATACCATACTTCGAGAGGGATCACTTCGTCTTTTCCGACTTTCCGCAAGTGGCCCTTCTCCATATACGATTCAATTGTATGTTGATACTCCTTGCTCACGATTTCATCCTTCTTCAACTTCTTCTCAGTGTTACCGAGTCTTGATAATGCATTGTTTCTGTTGTCTGGGAGTTTTGGACGATTCTCTTTCCAAGGAATGGCGAGTTTGTATCTCGACGTTCCAGGATTAATTCTTTCGCCTTCTTCAGAGCTTCCTTATCGTCTGCAGTTCATGTTCTCTGCAACATAGCTTTCAACTTCCCAGAATCTCTTGACTTGTTCATCGATCAGGCAACAGGATGTAATTTCTTCAGCTTTTTTACTTTTGTTCCAAAGTTATGTTTAGAAATTAATGCACTAGTCAATTGAAACCCCGGCCCCCGCGGGGACAGGGCGGGGAAATTAACAATTTGACAATGTTAAATTTTGGTAATTTCCCCGCTACCGGGGGAATATTGACTGTTAAAGCTACCTCCCCTATGGCCCCGGCACTTTGCAAATTTTCGTGACTTACTTTAGTACAAAACAGTAAAATAACATAATAAAATGTTAAAATAAAACAAAACAGTAAAATGTCTGCACGAGTTTACTATTAAAGTAGATTTGCTCCAAGTCTCTCTTATTGTCATATAGTATCGATCCACTATCAGACTTGTCCCCAGTCGTTATTTGAATTTCAATTTTATAGGGACGAATAGGTATATATCCATATATAGATTTCTCCCTTCCCGTGAGCTTCTACGCGCCCACTTCTCGCCTCAGCCCTCGCGCCCGCTCTTGTCTTCAGCCGCCTGAGAAATATAAGATTATGAGATCTACAAGTATTTATATTTAAAAGCGACTGGGGACGAGTCTGATCCACTATAGTGTACATTACATGACGTAGCACGGAGAAGATTTCCCGTCTATTTGGTATACACAAAAAGTTGAAACGGAAAACTCGTCTGTTGCTGGACCAGTACATTAGACGAGTTTCCCGTTAACTACAGAATTGCCAAATTTTTTAGTAGAATCGGCCCGATTTCAGTTAAATAGAATCTGGCCGACTAAAAAAATGATCTGGGATGCAGGCCCCCAGCGGCCAACCAACCAAGAGATAAAATTTGTACAAAAGTTTCGGACTTTTTTACAAACGTACAATGCCATGCATATATATGATAACAAACTTACTGACCTCGACCATTCGAGTTGTACGTGAAAATATCAAACCTCGGTCTTGTCGTATTGACCTCGCTATCGTTCGGTCAATACAGCAAGACCTCGGTTTGATATTTCCCGTACGCTCAGTCATGCTAGTAAGTTATTGTTATTCTCGAAGTACAATTAACGAATAACGTCCTCATTGTGTATCATGAAATATAGCTTTGAGAACTAAAACTAAAAAGTGATGTATTTTGATGTTCAATTAATCAAGTAACTCAAGAAACAAATAACACATTATGTCATAAAGAAGACTTGCATGCATCTCATAAAATCTCTATTTTGTGTTTAAACGATCGAAGGGACGTCAAAGGCATGGGCGTACCGGAAGGAAAAAATTAGGGGGGCGGAAAGAAAATTGCCCGACTTTTCAGGATTCTGCCCGACTAATACCAAAAAATTTTTCACGGAAAAAATATTTTGGCGACCTCCCCCCCCACCCCCCCACCCCCCGTCGCCAAAAAAATTTCGGTCAGTGTACCATTTTAGGGGTCAAAAAAATTTTCCCGACAACCAATATTTTTCGGAACATAACACAAATTTTCGAAAAATCAAAAAATTTGCCAAAAAATTGACTTAATTTTAGACAAAATTCACTGAATTTGTCCCATTTTTTTTTATTGCAAACCAAAATTGCCCGACTGTTGATCGAATATTGCCCGACTGCCCAAAAAACTGGGGGGGGGGGCTACCGCCCCCCCGCCCGGTACGCCTATGGTCAAAGGGAACTTGAATATCATACACAAAGGCGCTTTGTTTCCAGGAATGTGATCTTTTAACAACCGTTCTTAGCTTTGACACCATTGACTACCTAAGGCGTAAAGTGTATAAATATCGGTGCAGAAAAACCGAGGCAAGTTTATCAGATTTATGCTTTTAGCAGAATTATCTGGCGACTGAAACATGGGTCAGAAATACAAAATCTAATTAATTCTTTGTCTTCACGAAAACAATTAATCCTAAAATAAGCTAATTGCAGAAAAACTTCCTGACAGGATGTCAATCTAATTTGAATTACGTAAAAGTATAATACACAAGAATCTCAATTGAAAGGAACTTTCCTAGGGCTAGGGAACTGTTTGCTAGGAATTTACAAATATTCGAGACTCGTGAAAAAAACTTCCTCTGACTTTCTGTACGCTGTAACTGTAAGAAGTATAACTTGTAAGTATTTTTATTCATGAGTGAATAAAACCACACATAAAAACAACTAAACTCGTTGGTTTTGCTATTAAAACTGATCAACTAAAATGTACTTGTTGGTCAAAGGGGCTGTGGTTAAAACGCGGATGCGGGATGACGAACGAAAGGCAGACGGAAAGACGAACGGCTTATGTTTTCATCAAAGGTCATATCAAAGTCATCTGCATTGCAGTATCAGGCACGAAGCGCGGATATAGTTAAAGCGCGTATTATGGCTTACAAAGTCGTATCTGCGTTTCATACTTTACAGTAAACGCGGATATAGGCGTAATAATCCGTATCTTCCCTTACAAAGTTTTATTATACGGCATGTATGGCAAAGCGTCCATATCCAAAATGCATCATTTTGATTGGTTCCTGAGCGGTCGGTTACCTGCAGTACATGCACATGTAAAAATCTCACATCTTGTAACAAGTCTGCCAACAAAGCGTCAACGAGATGTATTCGCACTGCCTGTCACAACTTGTCAACAGGTTTGGAACAACTTGTTGACAACTTGTAACAACCTTGTCGAAATTATCAGACTTGTTGCAAGGTTGTTCTGACAAGTCCGTTACATGCTTGATATAACAAGATTGTTACAACCTTGTGTTGACAACCTTGTAACACCCTTGTTATTTCATGGCTGCAACAAACTTGTTAGCACAGTCTTGTAACAAGGCTGATAATGCCATCAAGCTTGTTACAAGTTGTTAACAGCTTGTTCCAAACTTGTTACAACAAACTGGGAACAAGCCGTGCGAACACAACTTGTTGACAGCTTGTGAACAGATTTGTAACAACTTGTTTGCAGACCTGTGACAAGTTGTGCGTTTTTACGTGTGTACGGACCTCTCAGCCTCAAGGGCCGGTTGTACGAAGGCTGGGTAGCGCTATCCACCGGATAGTGATTTTTCAACAGTTTGAAAAATTACTTCAAAAGCTGTTAAAACTGCAGATATGGGCCTCACAATCCAATAAAAAAGAATTCATAAATACTAAAATTTAATCTGGGTTACTTCAGTCAACAGAGAAATTTAGAACGGTTGAAAAAATCACTATTTGATATAGCGCTATCCGACCTTCGTACAACCTACCCCCCTGCAGGTGTATATGTAGCGAAAATAGTTGTGAAACTTTGGTCTCAGTTAAACTCTTAAAAAATGTGGGTTTTATTTCTAAGGCAAGATGGATGTTTTTAACCATATTTGGATGTTATGCAAAAACGTGATTTATAGACTGTACAGTTTTTTATTGCACTCTGCCCCAATGGCCCCTCGGTTTCATGTGGTTACGTTAACACGCTTCTCTCGTATTCTCCCAACATTCCCCGCGTGCATAATTATCACACCATTGAACGCACGCGACTCGTTTTCTATTTCATAATATAAAGTAAAGGCTATTAAGTTTACGACAACACCAGCCATCCGTCCGTCCGTCATCCGAACCCGCGGTTTAATTAACTTAACCTCGGCCAAAAAGCTTTGGAATTTATATTATTGCACACAACTGGCGTCTTCTATATTGCGTGGTATGCGGAGAAAACCATCCCAGAAAATGAGAGGTTCAGATTCTGATTTTCACTATACCGCTAGCATTAACGTTATAACCAATCAGATGTTCATGTTTATTCTATCCGATGAACCAATCGAATGCGTATTAAGCCTGTGCGAGGTAGCGATAGTGAAAATCACTGTGTTCCGTTAGGATACTTTCAGGCTATATATATCTCATATATGTTTGAGAATATAATCACTATAATTAAGTTTACTACGCACTTAGTTTGACGCATGCAATATAATGATTTTCTGCAACAGTAACTTTAAACAAACCTGAACGAGGAATCGAGTTAGAGTCTATGACGTATAGCTACGTTTAAACAGGTAGTTTGAGGACAAAAGGTGTTGTCATCTTCAAACCATTCACATTTCGTCAGGTCAGTCTACGAGAAGGAAGAAATCTCATTGAAAAGTGAGTTATTATCACACTTTTACACATCATGTTTATAAATATATAATATCATGTAATGATGCTTAATTTGTTTTATTTGCCACATCAAATTTGATATATTTAAAGCATAAATAGGCTAACTTTGTATATGAATAATAACAAAATCATGAATGTGACCTACCCTATTCTTTTAGTAAAGTTTTAGCTATAATCGAAAATGTCACGAGTCGATTTAATTTTGCATGTGATGACTGTGTTTCTTGCAGCGCGTATGCGTCAAAGACATATATTATAATTGCATTTAATATTATTGAGGATAATATACTGAAAAAATCACGGCTATTTTATATATTCAGAGATATGAATATGTTTACTGATTATATATGAATGCAGTAAAGACATGCTTTAATAAAATTTATGATAGAAATTTTATTCATTCCTGAAAAGGTTTGCAGGAAAGTACGAACACGCACGCCAGTTGTGCATAAATTTTTTCTGTGTGCGCTGCGAGCTAACAATAAAATCTCTATAGCGGGGTTTATAGCGCCTTTCGTCTTCTCAGAATGACCTTCGTTCAGAAGGGCCTTGAAACTAAACCATTCAGAGCGCTCTTGCTTAGCTGATTTTTTATGCCACCATAGTGCTTGAAGCGTCTCAGCTATAGCTCCCTTTACAAAAGAACAAAAATAAATTGGTCGTTAAAATAAAAACACGCCCAACCCTCCTTTGGTGCAGGTAAAAGGCAAGGAATGCGGGAGATTTCTTCGTATTGTTAATGTGTCCAAAATGCGGGAGTCTCCTGCCAAATGGTGGGACTTGGTATAGGTCTGTAAGAAAATCGTTCTCTTTAATTAATAAGTGAACTAATTTTAAAAACTAAAATTAAACATACTGGATAGTTTACATTTTACCTCGCAAGAAACCAGGGCAAGGAGCCTGGCATGCATGAACGTTGTGAAACAGACTAAAATACGATAAAAATATGTTGCTTTTCAATTTATTCCGCATGAATTTTTTTTATATTTAATACTAATTGTAATCCATGGGACATTGTTTGTTTGAAAGGGGAGCATGTTTTTATAGAACTTGTGCTTGTTGGAATAGTTGTTTCCAGAGATTCCTCAAGTAAACACGCCCCCAGGATTGAATATTTGGACGAATTAATCATTAAAATTCTTCACATATTTCATATCCCCGATTTCAATAATATTTTCTTCATCTTTCCGTATCGGGTGATATAACTCAGTTTCTGGGTGCACAATAGCTACCAAACATAAGAATAACAATATTTGCAGAAATCGAACACTCGCAGAGTGATGGGAAATGCCCAAGGCCATGCACTGACATGTTCAACATTTGTTTGCTCTTGAAATGTTGTTGCGGTTTCTTTTACACACTGCCCCTTTGGCCGTCCAGTCCGCTATGGCTATCATGTAGCCATGCATGTATATATATATATATATATATATATATATATATATATATATATATATATATATATATATATATATATATATATATATATATATATATATATATATATATATATATATATATATATATATATATATATATATATATATATATATATATATATATATATATATATATATATATATGATAATACTGAGCTTGTCTGTAATATGACATCCCCCCGATACGGAAAGATGATGATACTGAGCTTGTCTGTAATATGACATCCCCCCGAACGAGTAATCTGGAAAAGCGTGGGTTTTCTGGGGAATTTCTTCGGTGTTTTCTCTATATATATTAGGTTCTCTGGTTTCATCCCACGAGAAACTGTTGACGTGTTACACGGGTTGGGTAAAATTGTTGAGAATTGGGATAAATATTATAACGTTTGAATGTCTTTTATGTAAAACAGTTTAAAATATTTGGCAATATTAATTAAAGCTTTTGAATTTCAAAGCAGGTCACCAAATATTTCGCCCATTTTTGGTCAATTGTCAATTATAGGCTACTGCACGTTTATGAAATATATGATGTAGAAAATTATTCACCTTTTGAAAATATACTATCAATGACAAAGATTGAAAATTAATTCTGGCAGTTAATATAAACAGGAAAGCAAATAACAGGAACTCCTACGCTCTACAAGACAAATAACCTGAAGAGCGATTCAAATAACCTGAAGGAGTGAAGAGCGACTTCCCGACAGGAAGCTCTCTTGATATGAACTGAAATTACAAGCATTCAAAATGCAAGAATTTTAGCATTGAAAATAGGAGAATTATGAGAAGCTTCTCTAAAAGCAATATCTTGAAACATGCACAATAAATATCTATGCTTCACCAAAAGCATGAGTATCTTCACGCGCAATAAATATCTTTGGACTTAGTTTAAATGAAATGTTAATTGCTTGCCGCGCCGAAGGCATATTTCCACGTTGCTTCACCCAGAGTGAGTTGGTTCTTTTTAATGTCAAAATGAAAACTTGGCTCATGCACGAAAGGCATATTTTACACTTCGCTTGACCAAATGAATTGTTACCTCACCAAAGGACTGATCTTGCACTTCTCTTCATCCACGCGCGAATTTTTTGTTTTAATAATGACCAAATGGGATCTAGCTAAATGGGATCTTGCCTCGCCAAAACTAAGGCATTTCATTCCGTATCGGGTGATATGAAACCAAACAAAAGAATAACAATATTGCAGGAATCGAACACTCACAGAGTAAAGGGCAAATACCCATGACCATGGCTTGACATTTTGGCTCAGAGATTTTGTCGTCGTTTTTTTCATACACCTGCATTTGCCTTCGACCGCCATCCGCTATACCTAAACGAACCCCAGAAAATTGTTTCTGTCAGTCATTGACATGCAGAACGGGTAATCCGGAAAAGCGTAGGTTTTCTGGGAAATTTCTTCGGTGTTCTCAATACAGATTCTCTATAAGAAATACAGTATTTCATTTAACAGTTTCTAATTTTTTTTTCTTTGAGTTTTGTCCCATGAGTACAAGACCTTGTGTTCTTACCCAACCATTATTCATTAATTCAAAGCAATTAGAGCTGTCATACTGTATTACTACAATACGTTATAGCTAATTTGAATTTGAAAGGGTTCAGTTTTTCAGTTTTGAACACACTGTGTAAAGAGCACTAAAAATCTACTTGTCTCTACCGATGCAGTATTTACAAAATTATTCATTGACATTGATTGAAAATAATTGAATTGGTTAGGTAATTCTTGATAGATTTTGTTTATGGAATTTAGTACTATACCATCACATCAGCTAAGGCTAAGCTATAAATTTACTATCGTGTTTATAGAAGAAACACGTTTAGTTTAATTGTTATTATTAACGGTAGTCATGCAGTAACACATTTGCCAAATTTGAACTTGGTTGCCTTCGCCTCAGCGTTTTGTTATTTCAGTATGGCTATGTTGTAAACACTGAACACATTATCATTGTATTGACAAACATGATGGAATTGATCGAATTTCAAAATATAAAAGATGGTCTTAGTATGTACAACGTATCATACCCATATGGCCATATCAAAGCCCACTTGAGAAACATTTCGTTTTATAAGTTGAGCATTATTCAATATATTAATTAGCCTAAAATGTCTACGTAATTTTGTCTCCTTATAATATTGTAATAATAAATAAATAAATCACATTTTTCAACGCTCTTTTCAACTTGCAATCGTTTTGTTTTTAGACAAAAAATTTATATGGGGGGGCGAATTTCCTAAAGGGGGCGATATTCCTAGGGTATTGCCCCCTGGGGGCGATATTCCTAGGATATCGCCCCCCTTTTGAGAGGGGGGCGAATCTCCCGGGGGAGGGGGGGGGCGAAATTCCTGTGACACCGGCTCACCCATAGAGATTATAAATAACACTAGAGGAGGCATCGAGTTTAAAAATTGGGAACGCAGCTAATGGGGGGCAAATTCAAGTCCCGGATATAAAATCGTGCTCTCATTGGCTGATTTGAAACCCGTCACCAATGGGAACACGAATACACATCCGGGACTTGAATTTGCCCCCCAATAGTCGCGTTCCCTTTTTTTTACTGAATTAAGATTACAATGCCTCCTCTAGTGTTATTTATAATCTCTATGGGCTCACCCCCGCGCACGTGTACTGAATTGAATAATTATAAATTATGCAAGAAGACTGAATTGAAATAAATTATGCAGAAGACGCCTGGGTGTCGCTCATCCCGCGTTGAATGATGACCTTTGCGCCCTATTTTTCAACCTGCAAGCGCCTGACTTGCAGGCTACACGAAATAAAATTGTGGGACTGTGGAAGAGGTCACCTCATTCGCACTTAATTAATTTCGCGCGACTTTAATTTCGCGATTGTAAAAAAAACCACGAAATTTACACACGCAAAATAAAATACCCTACTCCCTAGTCAAAAATTCGAATAATAATATGCTTGATAAATCCGATCAACAACATATACAGTTCATATATCGACATAAATAACAAATTATTTAACAATAGTCTCAGTATTAAGCTGGACTTCAATGATTTGGTTTCTTGCACTTCACTTCACTTGGTGTGGTGGAATTAATATTAGAATGTTAGAGTATACATTTTAAGACCTGATCAGGAACGACTGCGAAAAATGCAGCACAAGGTCCTCTGGTAGGAATTGAACCTACGGTCCCGCGATTCCGGTGCGGCGCTCTAACCAACTGAGCTACAGAGGCCAGCTGTTGAGCTGTAACTGTAAGTTCATGTATAGGTAATCGGGTGTGCGGGTTATGATAAGGTGGACGGGTTGTGATAAGGTGGACTTCAATGATTTGGTTTCTTGCACTTCACTTGGTGGAATTAATATTAGAATGTTAGGGTTTGTAATCCAAGTGAGTATATATACATTTTAAGACCTGACCAGGAACGACTGCGAAAAATGCAGCACAAGGTCCTCTGGTAGGATTTGAACCTACGGCCCTGCGATTCGAATTGAACCTACGGCCCTGCGATAATCGCAGGGCCGTAGGTTCAATTCCTACCAGAGGACCTTGTGCTGCCTTTTTCGCAGTCGTTCCTGGTCAGGTCTTAAAATGTATATATTCTCACTTGGATTACAAACCCTAATAATCAATATTAAGCTACAGTTTGCATTTGTCTTGTTACCGGCAATGAAGATGAGTGAAAATGATGAATAAGAACATTGCGGTCTAGTATACACACAGTATATACCTCATGTTGACTTGTTTTGAAGTTTGTAGTTCAGATTTTTATACAAAATAAATTTATGCGCCTTTTCTATTTTCGTGTCCATCAAAATCGCGAAAATAAAGTTGCCTCAAAAAAATCGCGAAATTAAGTACGCGCGAAGTTAAGTACGAATAAGGTTTATATGACTGAGCTAGTATATCACCTCTTCTTCATTCTGTATAAATGCAAGATACACTAAATATTAAGGACTGTAATCTGTATTAACGTAGTTTTTCTCAAAAAATTAAGGACTTTCGAGTACTCAATAGTCAATTCTACAAAATAAAAATATAAATAAACCTGTGTACCAAATACAAATTTGTGTTTATATTTATAAATAGTCCCTATACTATTGTTCTATCACTTCTATGCAATATTGATTGCTATAAATTCTCGATATATTAAATATGCTCATATTTTATATCCCTGGGAACGAAGCTGATTTTATATAGGTGCAGATAAAAATTAAGAAAAAAGGACGCTAACCAAGTTACTTTTTTTACTTGACCTAAACTACATGGCAAAAAATACTTTATTAAAAATTTACCTTACTATAATAGTAAATTTTAAATTTTAAAATTAACTACATACTGGCATTATATTATCTACAAAATCACACAACCGTCGAGTCTAACGTAAATTAAACATTTCTTGCCAGATATGTGGCTTCTATTTGTCCTCATCGTTCCGTGCTTGGCACAAACGGACCCATCACCACAAGAGTGTTTCGAAGATGCAAAGTACATAACTTGCAGACCTGTACATGGACGGCCAACTGCTTGTGACTGCACAAACATAGTCCCTTGTTATATCAAGATGATTATTACCAAGAACCAGATTGAATACCGCAATAAAACACAGTACAACTATCTTGTAAACGGTACATTCCAAGGTCCAACAATTATAGCAGAAGAACGAGGAATTTTAGTGGTTGACGTTTTTAATAAAATGGACGAAGATACTTCTATACATTTTCATGGAATGCACCAACGCAATGTTCCCTGGATTGATGGTGTGGGAAATATCACACAATACCCCATACCGGCCAATGGGAAGTTCAGGTAAATAGACCAGTAGTAGGAAAGAAACAATTTTGGTTCACAATTAGAACATGATACTAAAAGGGGCTGTTTATATGGTCCCGCGCTTACCCGGCCACCCGGGATTCAATGACGTGCGACGTATTTTGAGCAATTGAAATATGTGTTTCAGCCCTAAACAAAAGTTAGATAACTTTAAATATTGTTTAAACGAAATTAGGAAAGCGCTAGAAGTTATGTATTCAACACTATTTGTTTTTTGTGTAAAACATGGAATTTCATACAATTTGTAACAAGCAATTTTGTTAGATCATGAAGTGCGATCTTCAATTGCTCAAAATACGTCACACTTCATCGAATCCCCGGGTAAGCGGGACCATATAAATAGCCCCTAACTAACTTGCGTCAAAAAGGAACCCTTGGGGGGTCCGGGAGAATTCTCCCAGGTAAAATGTTGAATATCTAGGGTCTTTGGAACGGCATTTCACGCATTCTGAGGCGAATTCTGAAGAAAATCATAACCATGAAAAAAAAAATTAAGTAGCATAATTTTGCAGATCAACTAGAACAAAGTAAGGAAAACGTCTATATGTATTATAACATATTCAATTCGCTGTTTAGCTTCATGATCCTCCTTGTTCAAGGGCTCGAAAGCTTATGACCCTTCCCTGTTTTCTAACTTCCCTTCCCCTTGCTAATTTCTGCCAAGTCTCTGCGGTAAAGTAAAGATCTAGATTTCTTTCTGTAGCACGTTTTTATACACTTCACTGTGTGTCTGTGTGTTCAAAAAAAGTTTTCTCTGTGAGCAATCTTATGATTGTTACTCAAGACCCATTTTATGATTGTTGATTAATTATGGTAACAGTGCTTGCTATGAAGTTAAAAGAACAGATGTTCCTGACAGGTGCAGCCAAACATATTTACAATTACAATTATTAATTACAGATATATCTTCCGAGCATTTCCTCAAGGCACACATTGGTACCATTCTCATATGAGATATCAAAGAGACAAAGGGTTATTTGGTGCGTTAATAATACGCGAATCACAGAGCGACATTCATGCCAGGTTGGGACCATTTGAAGATGAACCTGAAAAGAAAACCTTGGCTTTACTAGAACGTTTAGTGAATGTTGATCCGAGTGGCCAAAATCCTGACCCATTTTGTTTACCAGACGGATCTGACCTACCCATACAATATGACAGACTGTCATTCTTCCTAAATGGTAAAGAAATTGCTAAAAACGTTCTAGGAGGTCGAGGCAATGAGAGTCATTCAGAATTTTTCGTTGTTCCTGGGAAGAACTATCGTTTTTGAATCCTTGGGGCAACAAAATCCACCATTTTGATCGTTTCCATAGATTATCATACAATGCACGTTATTGCAACTGACGGTTACCTTGTTAACAAATTTGAAACTGATTTTCTTATCGTGCATGTTGGAGAGAGATATGATTTTATTTTGGAGGCGAAGGAGGGCGTGAAACCGGGAACTAAATATCCAATCAATATTCAGACACTCGCAGTGAAATGCAACAATAACAGCGAGATAGCAGGAGAAAGTTTTGCGTTTGTGGTCTACACCAACGAGAGTGAAACGAAAAATGTTCCTGAAACAATTAGACAGCAAAGTGGCCGTTGTACAAATTCGTCTTCCCCATGCAAGGTACTGAACTGCCCTTTCCAAATAATTCCAGACGATTTCAGTGACGAAGGTGCATATATGGATTGTTATAACGTACAATCTCTTCAATTGCTGTATCCAACCCCAACTCGGGAAATTCCGAGTTCAAATAATGTCTCATCCCAATCGTTCTTTAACTTTGAAGTAAACTGGCCAAAAGCATTAATCAATGGCGTACAGTTTGATTTGCCTGATACTCCTCTTGTTGAAAACAAAGGCACTAAATATGAATGCAAGTATCCAGTGAAATGTGACAAGTCAGGAGAGAAGTATTGTACACATACAGTGTACTTAAATACTTACGGCACCACTGCGAGATTTGTTCTTTCGTCAATAATAGAGGGAAAACAAGATCTTCCTATTGTTACACATCCAATCCATATGCATGGTCATACATACTTCATTGCTAAGATTGGATACCCTGAATACTACGAGAACGGAACAATCAAGGCTCCAAACAAGGACCTAACTGTGCCTTCATGTGGTCCAGCAGAATGGAATGGTGTCACACCCGAAGGTATTTCTGTGAACAGCACTACAGTCCGTAAAGATGTTATTATAGTTCCAGCTGGAGGTTACGTCGTTCTTCATTTCATCACAGATAACCCAGGTTACTGGTTTATGCATTGTCATATTGACGAACATCTCAATCGTGGAATGGCAATAGCAATTGGTGAAAATCCTACATGCGCGAGCACACCTCCTGCTCCACTCTTCAATGAAACAGATGAGTTTTGTTTCAGTGTTGGAACATTCATCAGAAAGGAATTAGAGGAGAATGGAGTATGTCGCGTTAATAATCCAGCAACACCATCACCAACAATACCATCACCATCCGGACACACTTCTTTCACCAGTACAACATCCTTAGTTGTGCAAATGCTTTTTCTTACATTGGCTTTCGTTTTCTGTCGTTTGATATAAGATTCTACATTTTGGATGGAAGAAGCCGAGAAAATATGGGCAGTTTGAAAGATTTTTTTACTTTAACGAATTTTTTATAAATATCACGAAATTTCTTTAGTGGATAATATGTAATGTAGCTAGTGGACCTCTTACGTAAATAGTACGATTAAATGTGCACGAATAGCTGTTTTCGTAAAGGATGGCGCCCAAAAGGCTGTGCCATGGAGAAATATTTAAAACACTTTATTAAACAAATGCTTTTCTTTTGCCATATAAACAACAGTCAAATATTTTTATATTATTTGTTTTTAAAATATAACTTTGTAATTAAAGGTGCATAAATAAGTACAATTTAAAATAAATGTTTCAGGTTAACTATCACTACTTAGCCAAGCGACAGTTAATCCAAGAGCTAGACATCCAGCAACCAACACAACAGGAAGATACGTGAACTTTTGTTGTTCTGGGTTCGTATTCGTCTTTTCAGAAACCAGGTCAGCTGGAGCATTTGGAACGTTTGTCGATATCTAAAAAGAACTAGTTTATTATACAGTCGGATAGACTGGTTTCTAACCTTGAATAAATCACTGATCTAAAAACTGGATAGAACAAATTTTTGAATTCAATGAGCCAATTTTGAAACCAGGATATTTATGAGATCTGTCAAATTCTTTACAGATCGAATCGTTGAAAATTCCTTGTGGAGTCAAGTATTTTCTTTTTCTATATCACCTCCCAATTTTGAATCACTTTTAATGAGTTCTATATATAGAATCTTTGGGACACTGACTGATTTCAATCTACTAATGGTTCCTGTCTCACCAATATTAGGGCCTGTTCATATGATCCCGCTTACCGGGACGTCTCGCTTACCGAGACGAATATTTCCGTGCGTTCATATGGAGTATTTCGTCCCGCTTGCCGAGTGAAATTACATTGAAGTTCTATAATTAATAGCATATGCAAAACTTCTACATTTCAGTCAAGCAACACAAATACTTGGTGATTTTAGTGTTTTTCTTCGTTTATTTACAAGAAAAAGTATTGCTTCAGGTGGTTATTTAATACTTGTTTACAAAACAAACATAAAACCAAGTAAAAAGTGTTAAATTAAACCGGCAAGACTTGTTTCACTTCATCCCGGTAAGCGGGCTGGCGTGTTCATATGGAAAAATTTTCATCCCACCTACCTATGATCTCGGCAAATTCAAACGAGATCTCGGCAAGCGGGCCAGCTCGCTTTCTCATATGAACACAATGCAAAATTTTATAGGAAAATAGATAGGCGGCGAGATCATCGGTAAAAGAGACGTCCGTAAGCGGTATCATATGAACAGGCCCTTAATAGCGGAAATTGGAAGAACCTCTCCCAAAATGTCAGCAGCTATACGGTATATTTGCGGTGATAACACCAATGTGGTCGCTTTCGTTTCTACATTTCAGACGCATTATCCAACCCTAGCCTAGTTTGAGATGAAGCGACTTTTAAGATAAAGCGACTTTGAGATGAAGCAACTTTAAAAAAAGCAGCATATCAATACAAATGAGCAAATTAGACTGTTTTACAAAGTATGCCGTCTGCAAATCGTGCAATGCCTCGTGGGAAAATTGACCGCGAATGAATTAATTACGATTAATAATATTATTATGGAGAATCGAAATAAACTTTGTGATACCTCTTTAACTAAGTATTGTAGTCGTGCTATTTCATCAAATATCCCACTGACTTCAGTTAAGACATCCTCAGTTCTGCCCAGAAACTGTCTGGCGTGCTCGCCGTCCTGCAATATGAATATATTCTACAAGATAGTTTGCACGTCATTGTAAAAATATCGCAAACGTCAAAATATTAAGCAGAGCCGGTTATCGTATTATAGAAGTGTTTATTTCAGGAATTATCTTTCGTTACTCTGGGCATTCATTTCATCATGACTGCTTGCTTGCTTTTCATAAATCACACTAACCCCATGCATGAAATTGTCTAATATTCAAATACGCTGATCATACCTGTACAACATTCGTTGGATCAGCTGCTCCATTCAAGGACTTTGTGACGTATCCTATACTACATTTGATATATTGAAGGTGTTTCTCTACATTGCCCAGAACAAGGTTTAAGTCGTCGCTCCTGGGAAAATTGAACAGATATTTCCCAAGATGGCTTCACAACCTCGTAGCATCTTGCACAGGCCCTGGTGCACCATGGGAAGGTCACACACAATTTCCCCAGGGCCTGCGGAATCTTGTAAAACATTAGTCATTATTATTACTATTATTATTATTATTATTATTAAATGTGCACTTTTTATTCATGCTGAGAAAGTGCTGACAAAGTATGCCGTAGGTTATGGCGTAAGTAAGAGTGTATGACGCCATTTTGTTAACAAGATGCTACAGGCCTTCTAGAAGTTGTGACCTTCCCATGAGGCATGAGGGCCTGTGGAGGAGGCTGTGACTTTGGTAAGTGGATTTCCGGAATTGTGTTGACTAATTTATACAGTTTACAATGTTTTTCAATACATTCAGTACCCATATTGTTAGCATTTCTACGATAATATACTGTATGCAGTCAGTACACACGCGTTGTTATGGAGAGAGGGGGAGGGGGGTGCTTAATAGAGAGGGGGATTGATCTTCCCCTAAAAATAGTGCTTATTTGAGGGAGGCTTAAGAAAGGATTGATGGCAAACACTTACGTGATTTTATTGGTTGTTTGAGATGGAAGGCTTGATAAATCCCACTCTTTCGTATGCACATCGTGTGTAGCTGTTAGGATCTTCTTACGAATACCAATTTGACTAACTCCAATCTAAAACAGGAGATAAAACTATTTACAGTACACACACATTACGTTCAAACGACATATTGGCAAAAACTAAATAGTAGGAACTTTTTGTGGCATATTAGTATGAAATTACTTCCATATCTCAAAGGATGATTCTGAAAAAAATACCCCGTTAAGTTGACAAATGTTTTTCAAGAGAATGTTTTTAAAAAATCGTTACATTATAGTATGTTAGCATGAAATGACTTTCCATATCTCAAAAGGATAACTCTGAATTTAAAAACTCGTTAAGTTGACAAATGTTTTTCAACAGAATGTTTTTAAAAATTAGTTATTACATGAACAGCACGCAAAAAGAAAGTTCCCCCCTAAATATATCATCATAAGTTCTAAACAAATTATTACCTAATAATCAAACCTAGGACTAATTAGACCTATGGTAGTTTGATTAATGGCTGTGTGAAGAATGGGGTCATTCAGAGTGCTGTATTCTTCGAACTGGCGATAGACAGACCGCTTTTGCTGGTCCCGAAGATACTCAATTGGGTTGAGATCTGGCGAGTTCGCAGGCCACATCATACTCTTTCTGAGGAGATGATGCTGAATATCGAAAAGCATGGAGATTACACCCATTATTAAATCATAAATGAAACATCACTGTTAATTTTGTTTTTGTTAATTTTGAAATTGGGTATTTTTGTATGCAATGGAGGCTAAGTCATTCTTTAAAGCATGAATGATCCCATTCTTCAAACAGCATTAAGCAAACTACCGTGCGTCTAATTAGTGCTATAAGTGTGATTATCAGGTATTCATTTATTTGGAATTTATGATAACATATTTATGGGGGAAATTTCTTTTTGTGCGGTGTTTATATGCATGTGTACAATATAGTATGTCAGCATAAAATTGCTCTCCATATCTCAAAGGATTATTCTGAAAAAAAACAATAAGTTGACAAATGTTCTTGAACACAATGTTTTAAAAAGTAGATACTAACGTATAATTAATTAAAATCAGTAATAGGGTCAAGATTTTTGCTTGACATGTCTTAAAAGAATTCAGTGACCTTAGGATTTCACTATGCAGAAAATAACACAAATTTTGTAAGTTTCAGCTCGTTTAAGAGAAAAAAAGAACTCGACTAATATTTTATAGTCCGGACCTCATACAGTTGACCACATTAATATACTGCATTGTCATTGAAAGACATAATCTTAACACAACACATGACCCCAGACCTATATGCCCAATGGCAGCTACAGTCAGTATAGAGGGCCTCGAATAGCCAAACTCGCCTTGCGGTGTAAGAACGAGACGCACAAATAGATGGGGTATAAGGGAGCATGAAATTAGAGGAGGGCTGAACTTGAGAGGCCAGTCTAATTTACCCCCCTCGATATAAATTTGTTGCCTGACCACCAATGTTCAAGTTTAGGCCCCCCACACCAGTTTACACACAGGTACATAATTCTACAGTATGTCACAACCATAGACGGATTTTGTGGGGGGGGGGGGGGGGGGGGGTGCAGGGGGTGCTACCCCCAATATTAGCCCCCCCCCCCCAACAAAATGTCCACCCCTCCAAAAAAATTTTCAACCCCCCCCCATATTCGGCATGATAAAAATAATTAAATAGTCGACTCCAACGTGCAGAGTGTTGATGATACAAAATAAACGTAGGAGTACACTCAAATAGAAAAAGACCGTGCAATACTCTGAAACTAATTGCTCCTCGCTTGCATTCACTGGTTTATTGGACCAATTGTAAAGTTTTGAAACTCTACTATCTCCCCTGAATAGAGTTTGCAGTGCCTTGTCATGCAAATAGCTTGCTTGCAAGGAACGTTTGGAAATTTTACGAACATTATTTTTAGTTTTTAATTCTTTTAGGAAATAGTCTTACCTAGAATTTATCTTTACGTCCCAAATATTATTTACATCGGAGTTACATCAAAAATTGTACTCGGATTCAAACGACACAATGTCAATGATTTTATAAAAGTAAAAGCATATTGTGTATTGGCCTATTGGGTTTACACTTTTACAGGTTCATTTAACTTTAACTCCCTCAAGTCTCAACAGACAATCGGACATGCCAAATCCATTGATATGACAACTTAAAAAAACGTTTTTTCGAAGCTAGAAATCATGATTTTTTTCAATTTTTTTCCAGGGATACTTTGTTTTCTGCTCTCTAGACTCCCACTCGCGGCTCTAGTGCTCCACCCCTGGAATATAGACCTTACTGGGGTTTGGTGACACTTTGTGTTGCTTCAGTCACCTGCTCGCGGCTCACCCCCCTAAAATTTCTGGCACCACCCCAGTAAAAAATATGAAAATCCGTCTATGGTCACAACATCCGATTCTGACGTCGGATCCCCCCGCTTTAGAATTGGCACTTAAATATAGGGGAAAGTACCAATTTTGGGAAGAACGCCTTATAGTTAAAAACCGAAATAGGTCAAGTTCTTACCTGTTGGAGTTCAGCATCAGTTAATTGTAAAAAGCCACCAAAAGTTATTTTGTGATCCTATATAAAATTATGAGATAATTAGATAACATGAGAGATAGGAGATAGTATTATCATAGGCAGAGATTGGAATTACTCACTGGATTCAAGGATACCATTAAATATTTTATAGTGCTAGTAGGCTAACATATGTTTAAGCCATTATATTATACGTCAAATTCAAATTGTCCAGTTAGAAAGCTGCAATTCTGACAAAAATTGTTGTGCATGGACAACGCGTGCTGAAATAAAAATTCGTGCTTTGCCTGGTCATATGCTTGCAAAAACTGAAGTCTCCATTATCTCCATATTTAATATCGAGTTCTTTGTATAATATAAGTTTTGGTTCGTGGAAACACCACGTATATTTACTACATATTTATACTGGTATTTATTATATATTATATTTTATATATTACATATTATATCATACATAAATATATATTTATTGCATATATTTAATATTACTAGCAACTATACCTGAAATAGAGGAACAAGGTGCCCCAATTCCAGTCCAAATAGGAATAACTCTAAATCACCATATCGTACACAGTCACTATACAAACGTAACACGTATTAATTAAGAGACTTTATAGACAGGATCGAACAAAATCTTAGACATCAACACCAGCATGCACGTAATGAAAAATCTAGCCAACGCATTCAGAATGAATTTTATTTTAAGAATTAAAACTTAGTCATTAACTTTCTAACGAGTTCACTGTTGGAGCATTTACTATTGATTTGACTTATTAAATCCGGGAGAATATGAACGAAAATTTCGAGTGACAAAATTACACATACATATTTAAGACCTAAGCGAAAGCCTTTAAAAATGTTTGAGGCGAAACCAGGATTACTCATATTGAACGGTCTGTGCCATGCAGTATAGGTAGTGGCAATAACAAGAAAGTTTCGGATTGAAAGGGATACAACTACCTGAAAATAAAAAAAGAACTTCGACGTTTCGAGCGAAGGCCCATTGTTGGGAACTAACTTCCCGACGAAGGGTTTTTGCTCCAAACGTAGAAGTTCTCCTTGTATGTTTCAGGTAGTTGTGTCCCCATCAATACGAAGCTTTCTTATTCATATTCTTGTTAAATCAATAAATATTTTAAACCAGAGCGTCCAAAAACTTAATAAGCGGAAGCTGTTGCATAAATGTAACTGTAGACCCTCAAGGAGGAATCGAACCTGCGATTCTGGTGCAGCGCTATCACTACACGAGAAGTGGAGTTAGTGGGATCTCGCTAGACAGAACAAAATGTAATGTTTTGTATGGAAACTTTACGGTTTGTATGAAACACCTAACAGGGAGAAGTGCCTAAAATCCTGGTTGTAATATGTTACCCAACTTTTTTTGTCTACACATCAAGTTTCGCAAAAAAATAACATAACATTAACTTCTACTGTAAAATAATTCAATCCATTTCAGAGCAACCCCTTTCCAGCTCAATTATTATTTCAGAGTGCTAAAGGACGGTAAGGCATAATTTGAGCTCCAGCAATTTTCATTACTTGTCTTGATGGAAAGTGGTCTAAAGTTGCATAACCCAACAGCTCAGTCATGCAGATTGGATCCTTATTCCATCGTGCTCATTTCTAACTTCGTAACTGAGTGTAATCATTAATTTATCGAAAACAAACGCATTAATTCGTTACTATCTTATAATCGGTTATTGATGAGAATGAAAATTGTACTTACTGTAATTTCAAATGATATTTTGTGTAAGCGAAACATTACTCACCCTTGTTCACCTGCGGCGATCTCAGATCCGGGACAGTTTTGTCTAAATAAAAATATATGTATAGGTATTAGGTAATAGTATGGTTTCGAGTGCAATTTGAAAAAACCATGCACGAGTATAAGTTTTTCAAAGACTATCAAAATTGCACGAGTCCGAAGGACGATTGCATTAGAGTGAATGTGATGCAATTTGAAGTCTTTGAAAAACTCACGAGTGTATGGTTTTTCAAATTGCACGATAAACCATACTGTTACTTATTAATAATATACATGAGAAAATTATGCAGTCACGTGCGTAAGTCACATTTAGAAATTAAGAAATTAAGAAATTTGAAAAATAAAAAATTAAGGAAATTAATTTAAGAAAATTTAAAAAATTAAGAAATTTGCATGCACTGTATTTCACGTGCTTGAAAGTCACATTTAGAAATTTTAAAAAATTAAGAAATTTGCACTGTATTTCTTTTTTTGCACTGTATTTCGAAAAAATTGCACTGCTCTTACTCTTAGCCAATCAAAATTGAGAAATTTTTTCATGTATACTATTAAAGTGAGTATACTTTACTCCCATGGGGAATATCGGGTTGTGATGAGTCTCAAACTGACTGTTCCACCGCAGCTATGCTCCGTGATCAAATACGAGTCATAACGTATAGAGCGGCGTCTTTCCTAATTCAGCTAAGCTCTCAGCTGTAAGTATAAGGATGATTAGATTAATACAATACACTACTAACAGTACGGTTTAACACACAGTACTACTGCACCACGAAGTAATATCTTTTCACGACTGTTACATGTTACTTCAGCGCTAAAACAGTATAGTGTAAAATATTGAGGGAGGAAAACGGAAGGTACTTACGAACTTTGATCCATACGCCTGCCTGGGTTTACAACGTTATTAAGAACATCTGCAATCTAAAAGGTATCAAATATACTATATGCTTATACAGCAAAGGGTATGAAATTCACAACTGAATTACATTTCTAGTACTGTATTACACTAAAATTACATTGTTCTCAGCAAAATTGGAGAGACGTTTATTCATGCGTATTATTAGTTTCAAAGATCAATAACTTATTACTTCAATGAGAAGTAACTGTCAATTCAAATATCTCAAGGTTCTACTTGACTAATAAATTACATTGCAATTTAGGAATCTGCGGTCGGGACGTTTGTAATGATACTGTATTTACTAATCCTCAATTTAAATCCCAACGGTAATCCTAACTCTACACCTATAACACTAAATCATATTCTAACTATAATTGTAACCCTAATCCTTGTGACGTCATTTGGAAATATTGTCCACCAACTTAAGGTGTATAATGTGTATAGAGACGTTAAGGCCCGTTTATACGGGTGATTTTTGCTGCGATTTTCTTCTTTTGGAGGATGTGAAGGAGTGGATGAGTTATAAATGTTCCAGGTTATCAAATCTCATAACAACATCATTAAGTAATATACTCCTTCACATCCTCCAAAAGGAGAAAATTGCAACTAAAATCACAGCAAAAATCGCCCGTGTAAACGGGCCTTTACATACTTTTCATACTATAAATAATGATCATACTATTAAAATATAACATTCACCCAGACAACGAAGAGACTCTTACAATAGTAAAACCGCCATCATACGCCAAGTCTTCAGAAGATTGTCCGTCATTAGTGTATAATTTAGGATTAGCATTTTCGTCTAGTAACATTCGTACTATCCTGCCATGACCACGACTCGCTGCCCAGCCAAGAGCCTATAAAATCAGCAGGAAATTTGGAGTGAAACTCTTAAAAGATTAAACAAGTTGTAGACAAGGACGGAAATACTGGACATTTTACAGTTGCATGTATAAATGTGGAATTTTTGGTACGTTTGTATAATACATGTTTGTAAACAAAGAGACACGTTCTTTCAGATATTATCATCCACACGCACAAACAAAGGTTCTGCATGTATGACTAATATACTGTACAGATATATCGTCTGAACCATGTTCATACCCAATGCCACGAAATTCACTCGGCTTCGACTCGACTGATAACACTTGATTTAATTTAATCCGTGATCACAAAAACCTCATCCAATAACTGTTTTAGTACATCGCATTTTTATTGCATTTCATTTTTATTTTCTACAGTCATGTAATAATTTAAATTCTGTCGCAGGAAACAACGTTCTCCAAAAACAACAGTGAAACAAATTTAAAACAACAATAACAAAATAAAAATATAAAAAACCTCATACTATATAAAGTTTTGATTAGAATGTCAAAAAAGTGTGCTTCTTTTCAAAACTCGCAAACATCTTGTTTTCGGGACGCGGTGTAACGCAACTACATGGTTGCGTATAGGTGCTAAGGTGCATGAATGTTTTTATTCATATTTTTATTGAGAAATGCATGGTAGACGAAAAAACATTTAATGTTCTTCTGGAATTACTTTACCGTCCATCCTCTTTGATCTTGCTTATTTACATCAGGCTTATGAGGTAATAAAATCTCAACCATTCTTTCTCGACCATTTCGGCAGGCGTACATCAGTGGTGTCATGTGATATCTAAAATATATATGGACACAATCACTTTAAATGTCTGGTATAGGTGATGCTATATAGCCTACATCGAGAATAATGTCCACAAAGCGAAAGTTCAAAGTTTACGATAATCCCAAAGTATATAGTTTGCTCATGCAGTTAAATGGACATGAAGAACTAAAATTCTATACTGCACAGCTTTCGACAAAAAAAGGGAAAAATGCCATACCTGTCATGAGAATTTATCTTAGCTCCTTTTTCAATTAAAATATTTAGACATTCTGCAACTCTATCCTCTGCATCGCAATCAGACGAACATGCTGCCATCATTACTGAAAACATATCTAGAAGAGATAATGACATAATGGAATTTAAATCGCATTCTTTCAGAGACATAAAACGAAGATGAAGATAAAATGTCATAACATTTATATTTCCAGTTAATTAAATTTATCGTCAAAACAAGTGATTTGGCTAGTATGTTGCACCTCAACTTGTACGATCTCCTATTATCTACTGTATTTCTTGAAGGTAACAACAGCGTCTCTGGCTGACACCATACGACGTATACCTGTATGCAGGCTTTCAGCCAGAGTTCTAAAAGAGGGCGTCCAATTTTGGTATAACGATACATCTACAGTAAAGAGGGGGTTCATTCAGCCAGGTACACCATCAAATTGATCAAAATGTCAAATGTATAATAATAATTAGAATTGAAGCTATTTCGTTTCAGATATATTAATATACTTAGGGGAACAATTGAAAATAATTCATTTCCCTTTCCCCCCAGAATTTGGACGTCCAAAGGCGTCCATTTTTCGTTCTAGGGGCGTCCCAGGACGCCATTCTGGCTAAAAGCCTGCCTGTATGTGTAATCACGGAGGACACTAATAGGGAAGGGTTAACTTTTGACCAGGAATAAAGCCCTCAAAGCACAGAAGATAACCATCCACCATTCAACTTACATGGTTTTCAAGCACATCGAGTGAGTGCAAGGCAGTCAACCATCTAAGTAATGCACTACACTCGACATTCCATAATAAGCTTATAACTCTGCAGTATAAGGGCTGCATTCCTGTTAAAAGTGTTTTTATACGCACGGGAAATTTTAATTCCATTCCCTTATAAAACAACTAAATGAAAAGAAAAACGAACAGCGTTTAGTTTTGTGTATCATTTAATGTGCATTTGTTAGGTGAATTAGTATAGTAATACAAAATTTACAAAGATTTCAAAGTTTCCGCACGTATACGTATATGAGAAACGCTTAAATGGAATGCAGCCCTTAAGAGACATGTTAACCACACCTGCCACTTATTCTTCCCAACTACTGCAGCAAACTACAGTATACAACAGCTAGTATACGGACTGAAAGAACATACAGTATATACATCCAACTGAGTCAAGGTTGTCCTCTGAAGGTCACCTCTAGCGCGAAAAGCAAATTTATCATGGACTAGCTGTTAAGTCTATACATGCATGTTAGCACCAACCTCGTACCCAGGCTCTTACCTTCGCACCCTGGGTACGAGGTTGTGTTAGCACTAGTAGTTGTTATGTTTTGCTAACTAAATACATGTCTACTATTTAATATGCTAATCAAGTGAATTTAATTCCCAAAGCAAGTCCCACAAAAAATTTCCTTAACGTTAAAAAGCATACTGTAGGTCTCTCGAAAAGGTAGCTAGCGTTGTATCATTATGTATATTACAGTAATTCCCCAAGGTTGGCAAGAAAAATATAAGCGGGATGACGGTTGCCGACCCGACGTCACAAGATATAAAGGCTCTCTGAAGGCTGGCTGAAATCTTGACCAATCAGAGAGCTATATTTTGTGACGTCGGGCCGGCAGCTGTCATTCTGCAAAATTTAAAAAATTGACTAAATTGAGTAAAACATTTGATGAATTTTCGCATAAAATACAATGTAGCAGTGTTGAAGTTATGTCTGATCATAATGAGTTAATTATTTTAATACATTTAGATGTTTATGCACGATTTAAGTTTTTGTCAAATTTGGTATTTTCCTGCCAACCTTGGGGAAATAATATACATAATGATGCAACGCTATGCGCATGCACTGTGTGAGATGTGCTTCATGCAATACGAATTATAGACTGAGGTTTTTATAGTGTAGATTAATCAAGCGAGAATATAAGGATTAAAGCAATTCTATGGATTTTTTTGAAAATAAAAGACCTTTTCGGGAGACCTATACAGGGTGTCCCAAAAAATGCCCCCTGTCATATTCGGTGGTATTATACTTCGCTATATTTAATCAAAGGTTCAAATTTTTTGCAGTGGGTTGAAAAACAATCATATTATATCAATCGTAGTATTTATATCTCACCAAAATGCTTAACCGTTCGGCTTCTAGAGATACTTAAGGTGGCGACACCAATTTTGCAACTCGTCCAAATTACAGAAATTAGGTTAAAAATAATGCAAACTTTGCAGAAGGATTTCTAAAGTTTCTACCCACCTTTTTGCTCAAAAACAAAATGTTTTTTATCTCTATTATTAAACTTTTGTTTCTTGTAGAAATTAATTAAAAAAAGATGAAAAATCCCTGGCAAGTTGACAAAGGCAAAGCTAAGGTTGGGAAAATGCCTTAAATTTGCTGTTTTCCGTTCAGTTTGTTCCATGAAAGAGCAAATGTTGGGATTTCGGCACTAGTCTTTCTGGGAATTGCTTCATTATGTTTACAGAAAATTAATTTGCGATTTTGGCTACAACTAATTACAAGTTTTAGAAAAGATATGTAGTCATTTACCATTAAAATATTTTATGACGTTCCGTAATATGTTTAAACGTAATATCCTCAATGTGGACAAGTGGCAATATTGGTGTCGCCACCTTAAGTAACTCTAGAAGGCGAACGGTTAAATATTTTGGAGCGAAAAAATGCAACGATTAAGGGACCGGTCATAAAGTATTTACTAGGGGGTGTGGAGGATATATTTTTTTTTTGGGGGGGGGGGAACGAAAAAAACCAAGAACCTCTGTGGGGGGTACGAAAAAACAACAGAACCTCTAGGGGGGTACCAAAATCTTAGTACTATAGGTACGGAAAAAAATTACATTTTATATTTATTGTTGAATATTGAATGTATTTGTGCCCAGAGTTTAAGTTTGGAAAGAATTGTTTTAATATAACTATTATTTTAATAATAATTACAGGAAAAAATTAAAATTAACACAAAGTATGTATGTTTAATTTAAAAATCATAATAAATAATTTTTAATTAATAATTTTTAATGAAACATATACATGATTTAACAATCATATATATGTTTCATTTTTTATTTAAAAATCAACACAAAGTATATATGTTTCAATCTGATTCAATGTCAGATGATAAGTAGGATTCAATATCCGTGGAACGTTTGGAACTGGTAACGAATCGGAGAGTTGAGACTGTAGAAAATGTTGAGGATATGGTTACCACTACAAGAAATGGGAGAGTTATCACAAACTGGAGAGTTTCGAAATATAGATAAACGCAAGACAAATGTTAAAACAGAATTAATGATAGAAGGGGGGGGGGGGGGTATGAAAATTTTCACTTACATTGAAGGGGGTTACGAAAATTTTTCCATAGGTTTTTGGGAGGGTATGAAAATATGTACTTGAAATTTCATTTATCCTCCACCCCCCTCTAGTAATTACTTTATGACCGGTCCCTACGTAATATGTTCATTGATAAAAAAATGAAAAAATTTGAATATTCGATTACAGGTAACGATGTAGTACCACAAAATATGATAGGGGGCATTTTTTTGGGACACCCTGTCTTAAAAATAAAGTGCCGGGTTTGCTATTGAATTTGGGCTAGACGAGCAGATAAGGTCAGAAATAGCAGAAAATCATGGGAATTCATGAATTATAATTAGTGGGACCGTAAAACCACGGAGTGTCGGACCCACCATAATGCATGTCCATTGTACTCTACACGCTTGGAATTAAGGTCTTGCGGTTTTGCGTTTTGACTTAGAAAGGACAACCTTAACCATAATTGAATTAACTGTATCAATATCATACATACCCTTTTGAAAGTTCACATTTGCACCTCGTTCAGTCAAAATGGTCACCACTTCAGGCAACCCACAGCTTGCTGCATGCATAAGACCAGTCCAACCAGATTTCAAAATACAATCCACCGAAATACCTAACATAATACAGTGAGTTAACATCCATCAAGTTTACGACAAATACTACAAAGAAAATACACTGGTATATATTTGTTAGTGAAAAATTTCGATATCAGTCCTCTGGAAAGGAAGAATGGCTGCATCATTCCATTTGCATGTGCCAACTCGATTTTCCACTGGTGACGTCACAAAAAATGTCCAGTGCTTCAGCTCTGTGTTATTACCAGGCTTGTTATACTAGAAACTCTGCCCATCGTTTGTTAGAATAATCTAGATTGGGCCCAATTTTGTTCGGAATATTTAGATTGGGCAATTTAATGAATGAACTTCCTTTTTAATGTACGAGCTAGGGCCGAAAGTCATTTTACGGTCGATATTCGTTGTCTCAAAGCTTTTTAGGATTGGGAAAATTACTAGCTATACCATCTACTGAATAGTACTGTCCTGCTACTGTACGCAATCGATCTCTGTTCTACCTTTATCCAAGATGTTTTGAATCACACTAATATCCCCATTTGCTATAGCAGCCCGAAAATCCTCTGCAATTTGAGTGTTCTTTTCATTCCCATGATTCTTTTGTCTGAAATGAAGTAAAATAAATTGAAATCATCATTACTTGTTTTCTTTGATTACTATCATGGTAAAGTATAAGGAAATGGTGGTGTAGAGTGGGTGAAAGCTGAGTGAAAATATCTTATATTTAATATCACCAAAGGGCCCACTGGGGTAAATTGAGATGAGCATCTTTATAATGTAGTGTGCGATTATATATCAAGAGTGGGTTTAATAGACCTTAGAAGTGCTTACGTCACATGATTTTTATAATGCACAATGCATTTTGAGATACGTCAATAATTTATTGTTTCAAAATTACGTGATGTAAGCACTAGCTTCTAAGGACCATTGTGGTGCCATATGTGTGGTTATAAATGGTGTTCATACTGTGTAGTATGCAAGAGAACAATTTTATACTGTGTAGTATGCAAGAGAAAAATTGTCATTGTCATTGTCATTAAAATAATTTAATACTCTGAGAGAAAGCACTTTATGAAATAGGATTCTAATAGGACACAGCAGGACCCTGTTTCTAAGGATTTCTACCAGGTATTATAATTCAGGTCAAACGCACACCAGGCAATAGTCCTCACTCAGACTTTGTTCTTAGTTAACCTGTTATTTTTAAATATAGGATAAAAACTGAATGGGAGGTCTTTCTTTGAAATTTCAATGAAAGACCGACTCACCGACCATGAGGTTTTTATGTTGTATATATATATATATATATATATATATATATATATATATATATATATATATATATATATATATATATATATATATATATATATATATATATATATATATATATATATATATATATATATATATATATATGTTGTTAATGTTGTCTTGTTGCCTTAATGTCCTTCGACATACTTGACCTGTATACTATCTGACGGGCGTGTTGTTCCATTGCTGATGTCCCTTGATGAGCTGCATGGATAGTGATGATGGAACAATTACTCGGTCCTGATACAAGAAGACACCCTCATCTTCGTAGATGGATTCGCGAATGGGCCAAAACGGGGCAATAGAGGGGTCAGTGCAGTTGGTGACTTTGTTTCCATGCTCAATCTGCTGTAAGAGGTGGGGAAGGGATGGGTCAGCAGCTGTCGCTTACGCGATGAGTGACCAAGAAATGGCACTGAGTTCCTGGGTGTCATTGTGGATGGATGCCATCAGGGCGGATTCTAATAGGCCAGGGAGGCTTGGTGGTACTGGTGATATACTATTTAGAGCACCTGAGGGTGATGGGTGTATTGATGTTGCGTCTGCTGCATGGTTACACTTGCCAGGTAGGTGCTCTATTTCAAACCGCCATGGGAGGGTACGTTGCTTGAGACGGAACAGGCGTGAGGTAGTGATCTCGTCCAATGTGCAGTCACCAAGAATCTTCACCAGTGACTTATTGTCGGTGATCACAATAACGTTATCGCAACCTTGGGTGAAGTGTCTAGTCTGTTCAAGGCCCCAGGCCACAGCAAGACCCTCACCTTCGATTGCCGCATACCGCTGTTCCGCAGGGGACAGAAATCGTGAGCCAGCTACATGGTTAAAAACGCACAGGTTGTTCCAAGTTGATATCGTGAACAATGTTGTGCGGCCAACTATGAACAAGTTGTCAACCATGTTGTTCCAAGTTGTTACAGTTGAACAATGCTGTAACAACATGTTGACAATACTGTTCCTAGTGGACCGCACAACCTTGTTCACGTCTGTTGATATCAACCTGGAACAAGTTGTTGATTTTCTCAATTTTTACGCGTGTAAGGTGATGCGCCAACCTCCTGGACAGTAGTCTGGGACACCAGAGGGACAGCGGCAATGCTGCTGGAGAAGGAAATATCCAATACTGCGTGTTGACGGGCGGAGACATGTACGCTTCTGCATGTCAAATATTTCCACTCCCCTGACGGGTGGCTTCGATGATCGCTTCCTTGGATACAGTAGCTGGAAGGCTTCCTCTAATTCGGGGGACCATGAGAACTTGTAGCGTGGGCTAAGAAAGCGTTTGAAGGGGGCCATTATCTCGCGTAATTGGGCATAGTTCGCTACCTGGTTGACAAGGCCAAACCAACTGTCTGTCGTTGATGCTGGAGAGGGGAATTCCCTGATTGCGTTGAGATATTTTGGGAGTGGCTCGATGGTTGAGTCTGATACTCTAAACCCGGCAAAATCAACGCTCTTCTCTGCAAACTGGAACTTGTCTGAATTTAACACGATACCAGCCTGGCCGACACGAATAAGCAGGTCAATTGTCCGCCACCAATGCTGTTCCAGGTCAGAGTCGTAATGTATGGTGTCATCAATACAACGTTCCTGGCGCTCAAAGGTCGAGAGAACTACGTCAAAGCGACGATTGTAGCCGTCCCCTGATGAGAGGAAGCCTTGAGGTGCTCTTGTGTATTGCCAGTGACCGAACGGCGTAATAACGGTTGTGAGGTGCCGGTCAGTTTGGCGAAGGGGAACGCTATGGTAGCCATTCCATGCATCTGTTACTGTTTTCCAGTTGTCTTTCGGGATACGGCGAGCGAGGTGGAAGGGCGACTCTGTTGCAAATGTCTCCCGTTTCCAAAACTTGTTCAGTGGTGACAAGTCGACTGTGCGACGAGGAGACCCATCATGCTTCCGTGTGATCACCATCCTATGACACCACGTAACAGGGTCGCCGTAGGGAACACGTTCAATAACCCCGAGGGCTTCATCATGGAGGTTTTCGTACAGTACACTCTCCTGCCAATATAAGGGCACGTTAGCCGGAGTATGGCACGCCTTTGGTGTCGTGTATGGTTCAATATGTATCTCGACAGGAGGTCCTGCCATGCAGGGTAATGCCCGGTGGGGACACGTGTTGAAGGTCGAGGAGGCGTACCTGTCAAGCAGCCACTTTTCCATTTCCGCGTTGTTTTCTGGTGTGCATGGGAATGGGAGTTCAGACGGACGTGGTGGGGGGACTGAACGCACAGAACAGGAGCATGCTGTTTCGCGTGGGAAGAAAAAAATTATTGAGCACTATTTGATTATAAATACATGAATAATTATATTAGGGAACATAAACATATAGGTATAGTGCTGGTCGCCTGTAATAACCATAGGAGCTAATCGAGACAAGTGGCCATTAAAAGCAAAAATTATACATTTACGAACAATTGGGGAATTTTTACAAAACCAATTTTTTTTTAATGATTTTATGCAATAAAAATAATTAACTTCGAGAACGAATGTGTGCGTATTGTTTATGTATATATTAATTATATATTCATATTAGTTATTATGCAGGTTTACCGAGATCATTTAAGCCGTGGAGCTCACAGGTATAGCTCATTGCTTGCAGACCTTCAAGTTCACAACGTCCCCACCCACCCACCCACCCAGCCCTCTTTTGGGAGGACATTGCTTGTTCGCACTGGTTTTCTTGGGGGGTGCTGCTGGTGCTAACCCGCTTGCTGGGAGTGTCTGCCCGCTTATGTTGGCTTCTATGGGTTGCTTTACATTCTGTGCTTTCAGTTATTGCAAACCAGCGGAGGTGTGGGTAAAAATATTAGTATCAGCGTTTCCTGGTCGCTGCTGACCAGAGGTGCCTGTATCTGTACCGCTTATGTTGCTTTACATTCTATGCTTTCAGTTATTGCAAACCAGCGGAGGTGTGGGTAAAAATATTAGTATCAGCGTTTCCTGGTCGCTGCTGACCAGAGGTGCCTGTATCGTACTGTAATGTATTGTTTTGGCCGTCAATCAAGGCGCACCCCTGGGTAGCTTATTGTGTTCAGTCACTTTTCTTTGTTCTCGTAGTCTACGTAATACTTGCGTTTTATGTTGTTACGTCTCGTGTTTTGGGGGTGCGCTGTCGATTACGCCAATTGTTGTCTTGTTGGATACTTTTTCGTTGTGCTTACTTGCCGCGCCCGCTCGCGGGCATACCTCCAGCTATTCTGGATGATTATTCCCCTTGTTACTCAAATTGGTTTTAACACTAATCTGCTTTTTTGTAGACACGTACTGCGTTGCAGAGCTTTTCATTCTTTTTAGCTATGGCATGTTATCTTTGCTTTGTCAGAGAGTATTATTTATTGTTTGGTGTTGTATGTTCCGTCACTTGGGTAAGTATTTGTGTGTTTTTTGTTCGTTTTTGTATTCCGGTTTCCACTTTGTGTGACAATAGTTCTGTCTTTGGAGAGGCGAATTCTCGGCATCATTGGGATTTGCCAAGCCGGGATAGTCGTTGGTCGGTAGTTTGAGTACCTACTTGACAGCCAAATTGACTTCAGTTCGTGATTACAGCCTTGCTAAACGTTGCGTGCATCCTCTCCAACAGAGCTATACCCTCCAAAGAACTGTTGCGCTTAGGTCATGTGCTATTACTCTATATGCTCTTGCTATTCGTTTGACTGAGTGATCGCATGTTAAATTAGCTCAAACACACAGACAAAACTGATATAAAAACAGACACAATACGAACAACAACAGAGACTCAAAAGAGATTTAAATGGCAGAAAATTTTAATGGCGAAACTGCCATTAATCCTCATATTCATTAATTATTTTTCTTTGTAGTTCATTTTTAAAAGACAATCTACTAAGTTGCTTCAGTAGTTCGTCGACTAAATTCCACGTTTTAGGGATGTGTGGTTCTGTGCAGCCATCGTTCATTGTCCGTACAGCACTGATGGTTGGTTGTTCACCCTGGTTGGCAGGGACTCGGGGTTCGTTAGTGCTGGGCACGTTGTTGGAATCGGCTGCATTGTTATGGGATGGAAAACTGGAGGGAAGAACGCACAGGTTGATTAAGGAGTCGTAGGGCAGGTACTGTACATCACCTGGACAGAGCTGCTGACGTAGACCATGGATTGGGACGATGTTACCTGGTCCTCACTAGATTTTGCTGTGATTTTAGAAAAGAATGCTCCCTCGATCTTGATGGGTGAATGGTTTGCTGCGGACAGGCTTAGGGTTACAGGATGTAGGTCAGCATGTGAGAATCCTCTGGCGAGAAACTCTTGTAGGGACCACAAATCGAATCGGAAAATGGCGAATCGAATCAGTGTCAGCTATGGCGGCAACTTCTGCCGTGTATTCGATGTGTAACTGTGGCTATAATTTGATTGGCTACCTCGAGTTGGGTTGGCAACAGAGATGGTTACGGTGACCTGTGGTCGGTCACGCAGCTGTGCTCGTCTCCCACTCACCTTTCATGAAGATGTGATGGTCGAGTGTCGCATGTGTGGCTTATGATGACGGAGACTGGAGTGTTGAGAGGGGCTGGTTTTACAGGAATGAACTACTGCTAATTGAGTAATTGGGCCTGCTTCCACGGCATTGACAGATAGGATTTTTGTCTGGATGTTGGCGAGGTTGAGCCCTGTAACAGTTAATGCAACAGAGTTGATGCGGTTTGGTATTCCATCTCTGCGACACCTCTGTGAAGACTTTGAATAAGGTCTGGAGAACATCACATATGACATGGTTGGTGTAGTCAATGTTCTTCCCGCACTCACATGTGGTGGTAAATTCACATGTCTCAGCTTTTCCACGCACCCTTGCTGCAAATGCACAGAATGGCTCGTCGCACTCCTGACGTTGCTGCAACAGTTCGGTTCGCAGAACACCAGTGGCAACTGGGATAACAGCAAGAGAACACATGGCAGACAGCAGTTGTGTTAGGGTGTTTGAGACAACATTTGGGTTGGCTTTTAGCAGGCTATCACCAAGATTGAAACAACTGGGAGTCTGGGATGATGGTGATATGTCATCGATACCTGAGCCAGTGTGGAATACCTCCCAGCGACAAGTAAATATTTTCCATTGCTCAGTTGTTATGCCAATATCTACCTTTGGCCGATCAAGTTTTGGGCCACAGGGGACTGGTGCCGATTCGCTTGCAGTAACAGTGGGTGGTGTGCTTTGATGGGCCAATCTGTGGTTTGCTAATAATGGGATGGTAAGTGCCTCTGATACATCATCAGTCTGAAAATCACAGTTGGGGACAGAGCAAGTTACTCTTACCATGGTTGCCTAGCTTGTCTTTTATTTAACCAATGTCTGTGGTACTATAAGACTCTTAGGATGGCAGGTTTGACTTTGCTGTATCTGTGTCGACGACCACACAAATAAACTCAAAATGGTTTCTTCATAAAGATAGTCTTCTCGATTGTTTGCAAAACATGTATTAATATAAATATAACCATCTCATATAATACACAACAATGAAGAAACCATAATTCTACAATAATAAATACAAGTAGTAAGAAGCATTGTAAATTAAAGCTAAAACAAATATATAAGGTTTACAACAAATAGAGTTCGAATACTTACAATAATCTGTTCAGTAAGTAATGTTTTTGCATAATAACAAAACAAACAATATGGTCGAAAACATTTCTCGTCCATTGTAGGCTACTTTGTGGTCAGCGGTTAACTCTGCATATTCTGGGGGAATTTAGCAATTAAATGTCACTCTGATTATTATTAGTCATATGAATGGAGAATCAGAATGGCATGACCAAAACATTCTGAACAGCCATACTGGGCATGCGCAAGCAACAATTATCCAATCAGAACCCAGTGTTTCTTGTATAAAATTATTAGCTAGTTATGCTCTTCACAAGAAGCATGACTAAGAAATACAACATATGTAAACAAAGAGTATACATTTGCTTGGTAACAGGCCAGTGATGCAACAAAATTGTGTAAAATATTATTAGGCTGCGACTGTTGTTTTACCTTTTTATGTCATTAGAAAGCTCAAGATATCGACGATTTTGGACTATTTAACAAATTTAACTATTAAATGGAAGCAATGTGTCATAAACTCAGCACAACTATAAGACATATTTATTGCAAGAAGACAAGAAGTAATGCATATTTTCATATTTTTGGGAAAATGTTTGGTCATGCCCAGCACAACCGCTAGCTTTGCCACTGGTAAAATAAGGTTGAACATGTGCATTACATACACTTTAATGTGGTTAAGCATGTACAATATATCATTTCACATCCCACAAGCGAATTAAAGAGCAAATATTATTGTGTAAATTCCCTGAGTGCAACAAGCAAGTTTGATGGTTGATCCAGCTAATCCTTGTGTGCCAGGTGATAGTATACTCTTACCTATCTTTACTCTTGTAGAGTTTAATGGGGCCGAGGTGCACAGCTGTTGTCTTTTTCTCAACTCAGGGACGTGCAGGGTTGTCTAGTCGAAAAGGAGATGTGGGGCTTTAGGTTTTGTAGCAGCGGCTGCTTGCCTCAGTATAAGTCTTAAATTTTTGAATTCAAGACTTAATACCAGGGCTTGAATTGAAAATGTAAACCCGGTACAGGTCTTGAATTTGAAATTTTGAATGTAGTACTGGGTCTTACATTCTCAGTCCCGCTCTCCCCTCTAGAAATCAAAAACCATGCCCAGCTTTCAGAATGAGCCAATGAGGTCTTAAGTTGGAAACCAAAACTGATTGATAACAAATAGAAAATGGGTGTGGTAGGTAATAGGTATATAAATCAGGCTTTCAAATTACACCTTGGCAAGGGGCAACAGCCCCTCCCTTACCTTCGCTTGGTATTTACACGGACAAACAAGTCATTTTTACTGATACTTACGTCTTGTCTTTTGTGCGTGCAAATAAAAAGTTCCCTTGTCCTTTATTTTTCTTCGATGGGACATCTTTCTTTGACTGAAAATTATTTTGCATCTTGCTGGGAATAAACCCCCCAGATTTTCCCCGTCCACGACCTGCAGTCCCCTTGACAGATGATTTCAAGCTTGAAGGTGATCCAAAGCCACCACTGACCGTTGAATTTTTAAATGAAGAGGTTTTTGGCACATCGTATGATTTCACATTTGCCTCATTTTCAGTATTCTTGGCTGCTGAATATTCGGGGTCGTAATGATCTCCAAAGTCGAATTGATCATCATCCCAATCGTCTTCATAACCTGCTGGTCCATAACTCATACTGTAACGCAGAAAGTCACTTTGTTTGGTTTATTATTCGTATTTCTTTTTGTGGACTTGAGATTTGTGACTCATTTGTCAACCATGTGGATGACACAGACGACCATGTTGTTTATTACGCACTCGATAAACAATCGGTAATTCTTCGGTAATCAGTCGGAGGCCACTGAATGACAGATCAGGTATCAACAATGGCGGACAACACGGCGGATTCGACGACGGATAAAATGTCCGAAACGAGGCCACTTCTGAACAAGGAACCAGAAGATGAAACTCAAGGTTGTGGGAGTATAGCTATATGTAATCCAAAACGTCGACTACATCGTTATGTAGTTCTCGTCTTCATTTGTTCGCTCAGTTTTGGTAAGTCACTTCCTCTTAAGATTTCACGTGACTGACTGGAACTCAACAATGATATTTTTCTGTATGGTATTATATCCAAGTAATCGACTCTTCCGAGATGGAAAATGACGATATATATCTTATTCGAAGGCAAATGTTCAAAAATACTTTGAAAGTTTTCATGATTTTCACTTATTCAGTTCATCGATCCGTGCCGCATTATCTCTATCAGAAAATGTTTCTTGGTTGTGATTGGCTGTTTCCAACGCAAATCATGCCAAACAACATTGCAAAATTTGCAATCACAGCAAAGCCTGAAATAACATTCAAATATTGTCCAGAACAAAATCTTCCAATCAAATTTCATTATGTCTGACCAAAATGAAATTTGATCAGAAAATTTTTAAATTTTGTTTGGACATTTTTTCGAGTTCATTTTGACTCCAGCTTCCATTGGGTGAATCAAGTCTTCATGTATACTACTTTATGCCAAACACCGCTATATAGTGTAGTTAAAACGCTTTTAAATTTAACAATTGTGTACTCTTTTTGTGGGATGATTGGATGCAGCTTAGGCGTAAAAAAAATACCTGTGGTTCCGGTTCCTGACCAACCCTATTTTTTTCTGCCGACCCTATTGTTTTTTCAACGCAAATTAACCATGCGACCCTACTTTCTCCAGGTGGTTGCGGGCTGCTCATGCAGCGTGCCAAAATGGCATCTGTTGTCACACTAATTATTGAACCAAATTGCCTAAATTCGTCCATGGGAAATACGCATCTCTAGTTAATATTGATGTCAGGACTCTACTGCAAATCACCCAGCAAAAAAACGGCAAAACCATGAAAAAATAATATTTAAAAAATATATATTTCTGACCTACCGACCCTATTTTTTTCACGATATGAAACTGGAACCACATGTATTTTTTATGCCTTATGGTTTTAAAATCCATTATTTTAAGATGGCTGATTACTATTTATTGTCCAGACAATTTTTCCAACTAATTTAGTATTTGGTCGGACAAACTGTAATGGGTCATTCCAGAAAAGATCCATACCCCCCCCCCACAGAGGAAATTTTTGCTGTCCGAAGGGGGAGGGAGGAAAAATGTCTTAGGATGTCCGAAGGGGGGGAGAGGAAAAATCTCTTAGGATGTCCGAAGGGGGGGGGAGGAATGTGGATATGTTTGTCTGAAGGTTTGAGACTGTGATAAAGCTATGTGATCGGCGATTATAATGAGCACGCAATTTTTATCGGCTATATGTAGCTCTTGAACACCGGAACGTTTATGTAACAGCAATAATTATACGTCCACGTAACTCATAAGCAAAATAAGCGGCCCACTTTTGCATGCATGGCCACCAAAAACTAACTCGTTGTAACAGCGTATCCTGCATGTTGAGAATGAGTCAAAAATTGACACGCTTTATTTATATAGTTTGCAGTTTTCGTTCGTATATATAAGTTTGAATTATTCAAGTGTTAAAAATAGTAGTTATTAAACTGTTGCTCGAATTAGGAGACTGCTATGTGAACTGAATTCAAAACAATTTGTTTTAGTATATAGTCAAAAAAACTTCCTTGCGAGGTGCGTGTCTGGAAAATAGAAATGGCTTTCATATTAAGGGCGAGGTTAAGGAATGCAGTAATACTAAAAAATGCATTAACATGTAAGTAAACACAGCAACACTTGTCAATCAGTCGCAAGTTACATCGAATTTCAGTCCGAATTTTACTTGAACGAATTTTGAAGTGAATTTCTGGATCTGATCTAAAACTCCACACGAGTCAGAACACGAGTGAACACAAGTGAACACGAATGGAACACAAGTGAATCCACAATATACTTGCAAGATGACGTACTCGGGCTCCGTGCACGAGATTGTGACTGATTAAATGATGCTCCCATTATGCTTTGCACGCTTAGAGTTTAAGGTTTAAGGTCTAGAGTTCAAGGTTTGCAATGGAGAACCTTTCTTGAATTAGCTGTAGTTTATTTCTTTAATGAAATGCAATAGGCATTCATTTTCATGTTGTTTTTCGCTCCGGGCCGTAGCGAGGGACGGTTGGGGTTTAACCTGTCAAACCCCCCCCAACATTTTTAGAATTATTAGGAAAATCAGGTTGGCCATTTGGAAAATTACGGCAATAATAGTATAACGAAATTTTAGTTGTTAACTGACAGAGAAAATATTATAGAATTGTATTGTCAGTATAAACTGATTGAATTATGGCATTTACATGCATAACAATTTACAAATCGTAAATCGGTGAATGTTTTTCGGTTTATCACTTCTGTAATATGTCTATGCGTAAAAATATGTGTATTTTTGTTTGTGTTTGGTCAATAATTGACTCAATTCTCTCAATTATAATACATTAATATTCCTTCTGGTGCGTCTAATAAAAATCGGCTTTAATATTTATAATTTATTGCGTCTTCATTTTCCGAATAGCAAACATCTTTAGGGCGTCGTATGCAATGAAAGATTCGAAACTATTTTCGTCTTTTGGAAATTTTTTCCTGAGATCCCCCCCCCCCACACCCACTATACATGCTAGCTACGGCCCTGTGGTCGCTTCATTTTAGAACTTCCAATTAGAGTGTCAGGACACTTACTATTGTTATGTTATTAGTCTGTTTATTATGTTACAAAAACAACCCTTATATACATGAATCTAATTAGCATGCATATATACTGAATATATTACAATTCTCTTTTTTTTTAAAATTTTAAAGTTATTTAAAATTGTATAAAGTCTCTAATTAAACTAAGTGTCTATTACTGTTCGATGATAATACTTAATAATGCTAGTTCACGACTAATGTTCATTATATATAACCATTATATATTTAACTTAATAGTCAATCTAAATCTAAATGTCTCGTAAATAATATGTTCATGATAACCTTAATTAACTAAATTAACATGCTTGATATCTCTCAGGTGGCTTACTCAATCGTCCGCTTCTAGTTTTATAATATTGTCCAGAACTTGGCTCTGAGACTTGTTCCTCACGAACTTCTCTGGCACCATCAGACTGGAAATCTTCAATTGGTTCCCACTGTCTTGATATCTGAACACCATACTTCTGCTTTCTGATATGATTTCTGTTTCTTCTAAATCGTTGACCATTGGGTGTTTGAATGATGTACGATCTAGGTGTTTCCAGTTTCTCTTTGATCACTGCTGGTTTCCACTTATTCTGTACTTGTACTCGTACTGCTTCTCCTTCTTGCACTGCGGGAAGCTCCGTGGACCCTCTGTCATAATATCGTTTTTGCTTTCTTTGTTTTTCTTCGAACTTTTCTTTCATTCTCTCAGGATCAACAACTTTTGGCTGAAGTTGATTTGGGGTAGTTGGTAAGTGCGAACGCAAACGTCGGCTCATCAAGATTTGTGCTGGTGAAGCTACGTTACCTATGGGTGTGTTGCGATACTCCAACAAACTTAGGTATGGATCTTTTCCATCTTGTTTTGCTTTCGATAGCAAACGTTTCACGATTTGAACTGCTTTCTCAGCCAAACCGTTTGATTTCGGATAATATGGACTTTGAAGTCTGGTGCTCGAAATTCCACTTTTGTGCGAACTGCTTGTACTCTGTGGCAGTGTACTGAGGACCATTGTCACTTCTTACGACTGATGGAATTCCATGTCTTGCAAATATGGACTTCATATGATTCACAACAGTTCTGCTGGTGGTGTTTTCCAACTTGACTACTTCAATATAACGCGAATAATAATCTGCCACAACCAGATAGTTGTTCTGTTCCCACTGAAACAAATCAGTTGCGACCATTTCCCAGGGTCTCGATGGTATTGTTCCTTGCACCATGGGTTCTTTGGGATTCGACATCTGGTATTCTTGGCAGGTTTGGCATTTGGATACAACAGCTTCAATTTGCTCATTCATTCTTGGCCAAAACATAATGTCCCTTGCTCGTCGTTTGGATTTCTCTATGCCCATGTGACTCTCGTGTATTCTTTCTAGCATCTTTCCTCTCATACTGAGGGGTATGATAATCTTGTCTTGCTTCAACAAGATTCCATCTACTTCTGAAAGCTCGTCACGATAATTCCAGTAGTCCTGGATTTCGCAAGGTGTTTGTTTTCTTGTCTCTGGCCATCCCCTTCGGATTGTTGAGAACAGGGTCTTCATGGTCTGGTCAATCGCTGTTTCTTTCTTGATTTGTTCCAGTCGTTCTTCGGATACTGGCATTCTGCTGGTTACCGTGTGCACGTAACATTCTAACTCTTCGTTCATCTTGCTACTGTCCACATCATCATCGGTAAGGTAAGCTCGAGAAAGTGTATCCGCGATGATCATTTCTTTCCCAGGTCTGTA